ACTCGTGGTGAGGTCAAGGGAGGTGAGGCCTGAGGCCTGTTCATCACAGCGGCCCCGGGAGAAGGTGAACACCACCACAGGCAGCTGGGCACGAGTACGGAGGGAGGCCAGGAGGGACAGGTACACACCACGATCCTGGGGAAGGAGCGGGAAGGGCAGAGATTGAGTCTCTGAGCCAATAGAGCTGAGGTGGGGGGATGCAAAGCTGTGTCAGGCCAGGAAGGGTGCAAAGTTCAAGTCTAGACTCCTGGGGGAAAAGGGAAGAAAGGCTGAGGGAAGAGGGGGTGGCAGGTACTAACCCTCTCAGTCTCACCTGGGCAGGTCCCCCGTGGTGTGTGGGCTGCTTGGCCCCAAAGGTCTGGGCATGCTTGCTCATTCTCTCCTTCTTGGCCTCCACTGCTGCGTAGTACCTGGGGCACAGGGTAGGGCGGTGGTCATGCCCAGCCGGGCCCCAGCCCTTACCCTTACCCCTGTCTCTGGGCTTACCCCTTCATGTGGAAGACTCCTCGGGAGTCCAGCAGCAGGAAGAGCTCCCCCTGGGTCTTGGGGCTGTTCCCTGTGAAGAGATAATGCTCCAGGGGGACAGGACGGGCAACAGTGCTGATCACGTAGATCTGGCGACGCTTCAGTCGCCTGGGTGGGAGGATGGAGGTGGGGAGAGGGCAGTAGATCAGTGGTGGGAGAGCAGGAAGGAAGCCACATCCCCACACCCTTCCCCATCCCCTCTGACTTCACCTAGTCTCTCTTGGAAGCCAGATTAGAGAACTGCCCCCCACCATCCCACCTCTCAACATAAAAAGTGACCTGGGCCCAAATGGGATCTCCCACGGGCCAAGTCAGACAGGATCCCCTGCTGCTCTCTCCTCCCTACCCTGAGGCCTGACCACTCTCTTTACTATGGTAGTCTTAATGCTCCCTGACCACGGAATATTGCATCCCCCCAAGAACCCCAGGACACATAGCTTACCCAATCCAGTCAGCAAATTCCAGGGCGTTGGGGACAGTGGCACTCAGTAGGATGATGGAGACGTGGTCAGGGAGCATGATAAGCACCTCCTCCCATACGACCCCACGCTGGACACAGAGAGGGAAGAAGGGTCATGGGGCATTCAGAGAGGGCTACCCCTCTGCCCCCAGAGAGGTGGCACGGGGTTCCATTTGCAGGGAAAGAAGGCGGTAAGGTCCACGGGTGTGTAGAACAGGGGAGTCGCTGAACCATTCCCACAGGAAAGGGCTGCCGAGGTCTGGGAGATCCCATGCTCCTTACCTCAGCATCATTGATATAGTGAACCTCATCAAAGATGACCCACTCCAGGTCCCGGATGACATCTGAGCCACTGTACAGCATAGACCTGGGGAGAAGAGGCTGAGGCTGACTCTCCAGTGGGTCCTCTCCTCCCTCTCCTCAGCCAACATGCTCTCTGGAACAGCCTCGTCTTCCCAGGGCCCCACCCAACCCAAAGTCCACCACTGCTGAGTGCCATCCCTCACCGAAGAATCTCTGTCGTCATGATGAGGCAGGAGGCCTCTGGATGCAGCTGCACATCCCCAGTGAGCAGTCCCACGTCCCCAAATGTGTTCCGGAAGTCTCGGAACTTCTGGTTGCTCAGGGCCTTGATAGGTGAAGTGTAGATGGTGCTGGAGAGAGGCACGGAGTTAGCCAGTCCCTCCACACGGACCCAAAGTCAGAGCCTCCTCGCCCAGCTAAGCCTGCCCAAGAAGCACGCCCCAGAGCTCAGGTGCCCCCTTCTTCACCCCAGCTGCCCTCAAACATTCTCCTTTACAATATAACCCCAGAGTCATTCTGTTCCCCAACCTCTTGCTAAATGAACACAGGTCATTGTTCTAACCTTTGTCCCCACCCGTACCTTCTTGTTTCTCTCTGGGTCCCTGTCTCATTCTCTACTCTTCTCCAAACAAGGTAAAGAAGTGAGAAAGAATGATATTTAAAAAGGAAACAGCAGAAAACAGGGCTGGAAAGTGAAGAGGGAGCTGGGGGGACCTGTACCGTGTCATGTGTTTCTGGGCCAGGGCGATGGCATATTCAGCCACAACTGTCTTCCCTGCAGATGTGTGAGCCGCGACAAAGACAGAGTCGTGCCGTTCCAAGTGTAGGATGGCCTGTTTCTGAAACACATCTGGCTCGAATGCCCACTGTGGGAAAGAGAGAGAGATGGGGGCTGAAGAAGGGAGAGGGGCCTTCCTGCCTCCCACTCATGGGGCATGTGGGGTGGTAAAAGGAGGCAGAGCGAGGAGAGGCTGGGCCTGAGGTCCAAGCCTGGGCTGGCAGGTGGAGAGAGGAGACAAGGAGATGGGCTGGGAAGCAGGATGAGCAGGTGAGGACTGGGGCCACACTACCTGGAAGGCTGGCTGGGGAATGAGGCGGTAGAAATCCCCAACAGGGGAGGTAACATCCACAGGAATGGCCCACTGCTCCTGAGGTGGGGGCTTGGGCACCTCTGGGGTGGATACAGCTGTGGATGCTTCCTGGAAAAGCCGGGAATGAGGGTGATAAAGATGCAACCAAAGAGCTCTCCATTCCTACTCCTCCTCAAAGATGTTCCATTCTGCCCCTATAACCCACCCAAGCCAGCCCATGCTCCCCATGGCAAGGCCCCCCTTTCCCACCTCCACTGCCTAGAACCACCAACCTTCAACACTAAGTCCTCTAAGCTGCTCGCTCGAACTAGGGGAGCACTGCAGGGAAATGCTGAAACAGTGTCCCCCCTGGTATCTCCTGGCTGTCCCACTGCCTCACTCCCGTCCTCGTCACCCCCGCCCAAATCCAGGGGCTCCAGCAAATAGCTGAGGCTGAGCAACCCAGGAGCCGGAGCTGGGTGATCTGAGGACAGAGGAAAAAGGGAGACTGTCATTTCCATCTCCGTTCCAGAACAGAAGGGCACCACTCTTGCTACACTCCCATCTCAAAACTAAAACTCACTCTTTGGTGCAAAGTCCACGCCTTTCTTGAAGCCAGGTGGAACAGTAAGGAGATCTGGAGGACATGGAGAGAGAGACAGATTCAGGGCTGTGGTACCCTGTTGTGCAAGTTGCACACTGCACAAACCTAAGGGATACCATTCGCAGCATAAATATTGTCAGTAGAAATGTTTGTCATAATGGTTTTCCAACAGATGACCATAAAGGTTGTTATAACAGAGGCACCTTTTCCTAATCTGTTCAAGGATGTGGAAGGGCTACCAGCAGTTCAGTGACAAGCCTGGACCCCTCTTCCTCAGAGCACAAACTCAGAGCCCTATCTCCCAAGGTCAATGCTGGCACCACCTCACCTTTCTCAAAGTCTATCTCCTCCTCAGCCTCCTCCCGAATGCTCAGATCTGTTATTGTGGGCTCATCCATTCCACCTGGGGGAGAGGATGGAGATGCATTCATGGCGTGAAGATGATTGCGGATAGGTGGGGAACCCCTCCCAGGAGACTAAGGACCCCTGTCCTACTGTCTTGTTCCCACAAGAGTTACCCGGCCAGAAAGGGTACTGTGTTGGATTCCCCCACAGGGCCTGTGAGAGGGGCCCTGGGGGCCGGCGAAGAGACAAGGAGGTCGTGGCCGACAGGTTTGTGTTCTCCAGCAGGACCTGAAGCAAGAGACCACAGCCCCAGTGAGGCCAAGCTTGCCTCTGACCTCCCCCACCACTTTCTCTCAACTTTGCTTCTTGTGGCCCCTGACCTCTTACCTCTTTGTAGCCCAGTATCTGGCCTGTGGTTGAGTGTCTCTGGGCTTGCAGGTCGGAAGGGACTGGGGCCCCCGGGGCAGACAGGAGAGACCAAGGATCCATCTTCCTCTGCCATTTCCTGGAGAGAAAAAAATAATTTTCAGATCTTATTTCTTTCAAAGATTCATCTCTCTAGTCCTGGCCCCTCCAGATCCCTCACCGGGCTGAGTGCTCCACACCATGCAGAGGCAGCCAGGCTGGGGATGACAGAAACAACTGCTCTGCTTCTTGCTGCAGATCTGGGGCACAGGGAGGGAGCCCATGGGGAAGCTGGAACAAAGGTGAGATGAAAAGCATTAGGTAAGAAAGGGAGTGAGAAAGCAGAGACAAAAAAAGAAGATGACGAGATTCTTGTTTAGATTATCAGTAATGGTAAATGTCTAAAAAAACTGAGACAATGAGACTAAAGTGATATTTTTCAAAGATTGTCCAAAAACTACCTACTGTTGAATTATCTGGAGTGCTAGTCGATAATGCAGATTTTGGATTTCAGAATCTCTGGGGAGGACGTGGGAATCTGCATTTAAAAAAAACTCCCCCAGTCATCATAAGACACTGAAATTAAAGACTCACTAGTTTTAGAAAAAGAAGTCCTGCAGCTAAAGATGAAGAGCCAAAGACTCAAACATCAGCATCTCAGCCACCAACTGCCCTGGTGTCCTCACATGGGTTCTGACCCACTGCAAGTCCACTGGGCTGGGGTCTGTCCAGCACCACATGGGGTCTGGGTGACAGGTGTCCAGGGACAGGTGAGCGAGGTCAGGTTAGACCGTACTGTGAGAGGGTGGAGGTGGTTTTCTCAATGCAGAATCAAAAATCACTCACGGTGCTCTCTGGAGCCCCAGGTACGTTTAGCAGCTCCCAACGACCGGTGCATCCCAGCTCCACGGCCCGAAGGGGCAGGTCCAGGGGACCTGGGGGTGGTAACACTACGGAAAAAAAGAAGCAGAGGTCAGGGGTCAAGGGTCATTCTCTCTCTACTCCTCCCTTCCAGGCCCTCCTCCTCACCAAGTCGCTCAGTCTCCAACATTTTGGTGCCACTGCAGCTGCCCCGTAGCCTGAAACTACAGCAAGCTTTCTCGGAGTAAGTCCCGCCCGCAACGGGCGGAAGTGGAGGTGACTTCCGGCCCACCCACCGCCGGGGGCGTGAACGAACGCTACCAAGAGGCCGACCGGGAACAGAGTCAGGCCTGGCGGAAGTGTCTGCGCCTTCAGCCGCCTTGGTTTCCACGTTCTCCGCCCCCTTTTACGTCATCGCTCTGAGCCCGCTATCCGCTGCCCGCGCGGGCGCTGCCCGAGATCGTGGGACTACGGTTGCCGCCCCCCTCAGGTAAGGCCTTCTGCTCCTCATCTTTCGCTCCTTTTTTCTGGGCTCTTTCTCTCTTCGTCCCTTTTTCGTTGCTCTGAGAGCGCTGCGCAGGTTCCACCGCCTCCTCTGCCTTTCGCATCCCGCGGTTGCCATACTAACTCTAGCGGGGGTAGTGCATGGCGACGAAGGGGTTGTTTTTCCCTCCCGAGGCCACATAGTGTCCCCAAGGCTCAGGTGTTTGTGGTCTTTGAAGAAAGGAGGGAATGCCGGTTTCTCCGGACGAGGCGGGAGTTTGGGCGGCAGCTGGTTTTAAGCAAGGGGTAGGCAGAGGCTGAAGACAGGAATGGGCAGGTCTAGAGGGGTGGAGTTGGGTACGGTGTGGACGGCGTGTGAACCCTGGGCGGTGGCATTGGAAAAATGTCTTGAACCCTGCCTCTGAACTAGGAGTCACCATGTTGGTGATACCCCCTGGACTGAGCGAGGAGGAGGAGGCTTTGCAGAAGAAATTCAACAAACTCAAGAAAAAGGTGAGAGAGTGTACGTGGGCATGGCCTAACCCTTCACAGACTGCACTCTGAAGAACACCTGGGGTGAGTGTGAGGGGGTGAGGGCTTCTTCTGGCTCGTACGTGGAGACTCAACCACCTCTCAGTGTAGGTCCAAGAGGCAGGCTTTCCAAAGTGTACTTTTTCTCTTCTGTGTAATCTGCCATGGAGTTGTCTTTCTTTCCATGGCTTTTAACACTACGTAAGAGCTGGTCATCCCCAAGCTTGATTTTTCCAGTTCCATCCAATGTCTTACTGATAACTCTTGGATACCCAGAATTGAAGCTGCTGTTGTGTTCAGTATTCTAATATAGTTCCTTTTCTTGACTCTCCAAATAGGACTGATTGCAGTCAGTTCTCCCATGTTTGGGTGCAAAATCTTATCTCTGATTTTTCTCGTATTTGCATAGCCAAGTATTTGCCAAGTTTTCTTGATTCTTCCTTTGAAGTTGTCTCTACCATTCATGCTTTCCTGTGTTTTCCCTATACTCGGCCTTTACCGGTACTTACCTAAGCTTTTGTGGTGTGCTCTCAACAAGTTTCTTAGTGGTTTTTTTTTTGTGCAAACTTCTTTGCTCTTCCCCAAATGATGTGTTGAAGATGCAGAACTCTATCCTCTTATTTTTCTCAAAATCCATAGTGGTTTCATGTCTGTAGAACATAGCCCCAAAGCCTTAGCTTGACATCCCTTTGTAGCCGAGCAGAACTATTCACTAATCCCAGAATACACATCCCCAAAGCCTTATCTCTTTGCTACTCAGTTTTCTTTGTTTAAAATACTTTTTTTTTTTTTTATCTGTGTTGTGTAGATTGTACCTAGATCCCAGTTTAATAGCCATCAGGCATCAGAAAAGTTGACTTGATCTCAGCTGCAAGTGATCTGCACCTATTATGGGCCATCCTGGCAGTGTAGTTTAGTCAGACTGTAACCTTTTTTAGAAGAGGTTCATGTTTTATACATTTGTGTAGGTTTCTTATAATAACGTCACAGTAGGTTCTCAATAAATGTATGGTAGGTTCTCATTAAACGTATGAAAGTTGAACAAAGCACAAGAGAAGGGCACATAGGTTTATACGTGCTTGCACCTTATATCCTAGGACTCTGATCATTGAATGAACTCCTTGTCTCCAGCTTCAAAATTATGAGATTCTGGGAAGCCTCTGGGTATCGTGGTTTGGTTAGATTAGATATCACTGGCATTATAAATGATTTGGGGGACTTTATGCTAAAGGCAGGGCTGCCTCGGTGCACCACTTTAGGGGACACCATTTGCGTTATTTCCTCCAAGAAGAGTGTCCCCAGGAGTGATGTGCCCAGGGACTTTGAGAGGACCTGGAACCCACCAACTCCTCTCTTAACCTCATTTCCAGAAAAAGGCATTGCTGGCTCTGAAGAAGCAAAGTAGCAGCAGCACAGCCAACCAAGGCGGTGTCAAACGCTGTGAGTGATGGGGACATGGGGATGGACTGGAAGTGGGCAGCATGGGGCTGACCTCTGTTACAGCCTAGCCAACATAATGCCTCCTTCCCCCACTGTTCCAGCGCTATCTGAGCAGCCTGTGGTGGACACAGCCACAGCAACAGAGCAAGCAAAGCAGCTGGTGAAATCAGGAGCCATCAGTGCCATCAAGGCCGAGACCAAGAACTCGGGCTTCAAACGTTCTCGAACACTAGAGGGGAAGTTAAAGGTGAGCACGAGCAGAAAGATTGTTCAGGGAACCCTTGACTTCAGAGGGTATCTCTCTAAGTTGGAATGGAGGTGAGTTTAAGGAAAGAGTAATGCATATTCAATCATGGGCAAATCACTGTGCCATTCTGAACTTTGGGTTCTTAATCTATAAAATAAAAGAAACTGGATGACCTCTAAATTCCCTTTCATTTTACACATTCCATGGCTTTTATCACCACAAGTGGACAGTAACTCTGGGGATCTGTTGCTCTGAGGACTTGAGCAAGCTGAAAATGTCATCACGTTTTCAAAAAAGACTTATTTATATATTAAATACTCCGGAAGTATATATTGGACCATTTAGAAAACTTTTACATGATCAAATAAAAACGCAGCGGAATTAAAAACTAAAATAGAGGAAGCTGAAAAGAAGGTGAGGGAGAGAGGAGGAACTGCTCCGTCCTGTGGCTGGGTAGTCCCCTGCTCCAGCTGAGGTGGGTCTCTACCACCTCCCCAGGACCCTGAGAAGGGGCCAGTCCCCACTTTCCAGCCATTCCAGAGGAGCATATCTGCCGACGACGATATACAGGAGGTAATGATTCCCAGATTTTTGTTCCTGGAAGGGGCCGGGGACTGAGGAAGATGAGAGACCCATACCAGCAGCTAGGAATCATCTTAATTGTTCTTGGTCTTTTTCAGTCATCCAGACGTCCCCAGAGAAAATCTCTGTATGAGAGGTTAGAGAGTGCAGTCCCACTTGGCAAGGGGTGGAGAAGGAGGGAGTTGCCTGGGTTCTTGGGAGGTGTGGGGCTGGAATGAAAGGAACTGGGGCCGCAGAGGGGCTTTAAAGTCTCCAGAGGGTTTGGGAGGAGGAGATAAAGGTGTCCTTTGATCCTCACTGTCTGCCTTTTGCCAGCTTTGTGTCTTCCAGCGATCGGCTTCGGGAACTGGGGCCAGATGGGGAAGAGTCTGAGGGCCCAGGGGCTGGCGATGGCCCCCCTCGGAGCTTTGACTGGGGCTATGAAGAACGCGGCAGTGCCCGCTCCTCAGCCTCCCCTCCCCGGAGCCATAGCCGAGACCGTAGTCGTGAGCGGAACCGGGACAGAGACAGAGAGCGGGAGCGGGACCGAGACAGAGAGCGGGATCGAGACAGAGATCGGGATCGAGAGCGGGATAGAGATCGAGACCGGGACCGGGAACGAGACAGGGATCGGGATCGAGACCGAGAGGGCCCTTTCCGCAGTGAGTGATCTTGACTGGTGGGGAAGATGATCTTGGCTAGAATTTAGGTAGATCCTCCTGAATCGAGCTCTTAAAGTGGCGAGTGAGATGGGTTATGTCTTCTAACTGTAATTCCTGATCCCATAGGGTCAGACTCATTCCCTGAACGCCGGGCCCCTCGGAAGGGGAATACTCTCTATGTGTACGGAGAAGACATGACACCCACTCTTCTCCGTGGGGCCTTCTCTCCCTTTGGAAACATCATTGACCTTTCCATGGACCCACCCAGAAAGTAAGAATGGTATCAGGAAAGGTGATGAGTCCTGGGGGAGGAATCCAGCCTGTCTCCAGTGGCCTGCAAGCACTGGGTTTGTTTGGATCAGAGGAGGCCGTAGGCCCTCTACTGACCCTGTTCTCTCTCATCCCAGCTGTGCCTTCGTCACTTATGAAAAGATGGAGTCAGCAGATCAGGCCGTTGCTGAGGTTGGGACTTCCCAGATCTGTTCTTTCTATCCCTCCTGCCGTTTTCGTGTTTCCTTCTTAACATATTGGGAGCCAGGAGAAAGTTGGTTCTTCTTGACAGAAAAAGCCCCTTCCTACTCACACAGGAAACATTACGCTTTCAGACCCCGTACTCAGTCTTACTCCTAGGATAGCAATCCCTGGAAGCCCTCCTTTGGTTTGTCTGTAATATTTTCTCTATCCCCTTCCCTTTTCTGCCTCAGCTTAATGGGACCCAGGTGGAGTCCGTACAGCTCAAAGTCAACATTGCCCGCAAACAACCCATGCTGGACGCTGCCACTGGCAAGTCTGTCTGGGGCTCCCTCGGTAAGGCAGGATTCTTCTTTTCTCATCCTCTCTTTTCTCACAGCTCATCCCTTCTTTTTGTTTCGCTCCGTGTCCCGGGGTTCCCTAGAGGTGATAGAGGTCTGGATTTGTGTGAAGGCGGTGGGAACGGGAAGGAGAATTGCCGGTCCTTATGTCAGAGGTGGGAGAAGGAGAGAAAAAGATTGCAGGTGGCTCTTAAGGGGATGACTGGAATGGGGAAAAAGTGGGAGCCAGAGTCGGGCTAGTGAGGAAGATGGACCTCTCATGTGGCCTTATTCATTTGGAGATGCAGTACAGTGATTTCCTAAGCATTTGAAGCTAGGGATCAAGAACGCAGTTGTGAGATGAAGAACAAAAATGTAGATAAGCGTTATCTGTATAAAAGGGTGGCTGCAAAATGATCGTGTCAACAAGGAGGCTGATTTTGGAGAAAAAAATGTCCCAGAACTGGGCTTGGGGAGTATGTTAGGGATTGTACTCCTTATGCACTACATGTCCTCAGTCTGCCTGACATGTTAGGTTGAAGTTGAGGATGTAGCAAAGGAGACAAAAGGAAGGGTCAGAGGGCTGGGCTGGGAGTAGCGCCAGAGGGGCCTGGGCCACTGAAGCTAAGGGACACAGCTTTGAGGAGGGAGTGGTTAGCAGTGCTGAGGTACAAAGATCAAAGAATGGAAACTGGGCCGGGGAGGAGCAAGGGCAGTGGGATTCACTCTAGCCCTGGAGTGGTGGAGATGGAATCCTTGTAGATGGGGTGAAGAGGGGGACACATTGAGTGCAGGAGGAAGGGGGAAAAGCAGCTAGAGACTCGAGGGAGAATGTTTAGAGCCAAAGCTGTACCCCGAATGAGTTCCCCTGATGGGGCTAGGAGTACTTCGCAGTGTGAAATAACCTGACTGGGTCTTTTTCATTGAAAATGGATTACTCCTAAAGGGGTAGGCAGAAAGAGGGCTCAGAGCAAGAGTGACTGTCCGTATGAAAGGACCAGAATTGACCAAGCATATCAACAAAGGGCTACCAAGGTTTTCTGATTTTTAATTTTTCATATATTGAGTAAAAGCAGTGAGTTAACATCATTCATGAGTCTCAACAACAATCACATTTTGGGTTTTTTAAAGAACAAAGCATTCATCACAGTATCCACAGTGTTACAGTAACATCTTACACTCCTTGCTGTGGCAATAGGTTGGCCACCACTGGCTCAGGAGGACTCATGGGAGACAGGGCAGCCCTGGCCACCAGAGGGCAGCATGAAAACTGGGCTTCCAAGGATCAGCGGCAAGGAGTGAGGAAGTCCGGCTCTGGACCTCAGGTCTAATCAGTGATTTCCTTCAGACCATAACTGTCCCTCTCCTCCCTCCCTAGCTGTCCAGAACAGCCCTAAGGGTTGCCACCGGGACAAGAGGACCCAGATTGTCTACAGTGATGATGTCTACAAGGAGAATCTTGTGGATGGCTTCTAGGGAGTGGAGCTGGATTCCTTGTGCCTCATGTGCCCCCAATGCTGGTCTCAGTAAAACACTGAGGTGGATGCTCCCTCAGCCTCTGGTTTTTCAGCACTTGGGATGGGGGTTTAGCCTTTAAAAACGGCTGTCAGATTTCATTTCAATTGTAACAACACAGCTGGTGCACGTTCCCCACTCCCTTACCCCAAAAGGATCTGGAACACAGGCATTGTCACAGCTGTTTTAATTGGATTCCATGCACCTTTCCAGCAGGAAACCCCTTATAGAAAACCCAGATCCTCATCTTTGAGTTTCTCTTTGAGCCAGGGCAGCACTTGGAAGAGGTTGATGTGAAAGTCTCGGGCGTGAGCAGGTACTTCCCATTTTTGGCCTTGTTTTTGGTCTTTGCAGACATCCACTACACCCCAGCTGATCACACCAACCTGGAGAGGGGAAGGGGGTGCCGTGGGTCATTTGGTAGCATTCCTTCCTAACCCCAGGGAGCATGGCTACTCCTGGGTACATCTCAGCTGACCTAAAAGAAATAGACTAGGAAGGCAGCTTAGTCTTGTCTTCCCTGACACACAAAGGCCAGATCAAGGGCCCCGAAGCAGCCAGTCCACGGACTGGTCCTAAGGTGAGATGGGCCCTGCTCTCCCTATCTCCCACCAGCTCCTAGTATTGACCCTCCCTATTTTGGGGCCTATGATGACCACTTGGCTTCTCCCCACAGGTAGGAGAGGAAAACTTACTTGAATGAAGCGACTCTTCTTACGAATAATCAGGGGGCCACCGGAATCCCCTGCAGGGAAAGAGAGGCTGTAGGGAAAAGGACTTTTGGGCCTCAGGAACTTGTAGCATAACCAAACAGTCTTCTCTTACCTCTGCAAGTATTGGGGTCAGCATAGGGATCCACCCCTCCAGTGCAAAGGAACCTGGGGGTGACCACCTGAGAGATGTCCTTGACTTTGTCATAACCTTTGGCATTTCGAGCATCTTTCTCACAGCTGGTTTTCTGTAGGTGAGGTGGGAAGGATGGAGGAGAGAGGTGATAAGCAGAGCTGGGCTTAGGAAGGATTGGGGCCTAGAGGATCTCCTCCTTAGACTCCCACACTTCTCACCTTATCCCCATTCTTGATGTAGACCTCTTTCCGAACCAGCGTTTTCTTCTCCTCAGACACAAACAGAGCTTTGACATCCTTCACAGGGAGCAGCTCTTCCTCTGGACAAGTGAATACTCTGGGTCACTCCAAGCCCCCACCCCTGCCACTTCCACATTGCTTTTGTCACTCAGCAGATGTCTCAAGAAGTCCTTCCTATAAGCTAGAGACAGGCTGGGCACCAGCTGCTCCTGCTGCAGCTCCTGTTTGCCTCCCTCATCCCTCAGAATCTCATCCTTGTGCCCCTCTCCCTGAACATGTCTTACTGTGTTGCTGGCATGTTGCTGACTGGGGGAGCCTCAGAGCTCGAGTTGTTCCCTCGGTGCAGGGCAGACAGATGGGCCTGTTAAGGAGAAATGAGGAAAATCTGCTGCTCGCCCCAGACCGTGGTCCTCCAGCCCCACCTTTCCTAGCCTTTTCTCCTTAGGAATCCTGATTCTCTCACCTGAGAGTCTGGCTATACTTCAGCTTCGTCTTGAGCTTTATCAGGGCCACATCGTAGTCATAAAATTCAGGAATTCCTTCTGCTTTTTTCCCATTGATGTTGTAGCTGGGGTGAAATAGGACTTCTTCTATATCCAATTCCTGCTTCTTTACAGTTCCTCCTGTTAGGAGGAGAGTGGGTAGCCCTGGATCACCCACTTCTCTGTGGGCATCCTCCTGCCTGTGGCCCCATCTCACCCCTGACTTCAAGTATTCCCCACCCCTGGCTGTTTTAGGGTACAAGGGAGGGAGCTGCATTAAGGATGGGTGGAGTGTGAGATGTTGGCATGGGTGGAGCTCAGGCTCCATTCACTGCGTCCTTACTTGCATCCTTAGCCACGCTGACCTTGATGGAGTGTTTCTCGTCCTCCACAGTGAAGCAGTGTGCCGCTGTCAGTACAAAGTACTCAGACACCACAGCCCCCATACAGTTCTCAAATCCCTTCCCAGGGCGCTGGGAACAACAATTGAGGGGGAAAGCTCAACTTCCGCAAACACCATGCTCTAATAAGAACATTATACCCTTTGCCTTCCCTTATCCTACCCCCATTTCATCCTGACCTTACCTCCCACAAGTCCCCACACTAGGATGCTGTACTTACAGTGATGGAGATCTTGACCTGCCACGGTTGCTTGTGGGAATCGGTAGCTTCCCTGTGCTCCCAGACCATGCCACAGAGACTCAGAGACTGGCTTTCATCTGGCAGAAGAGGAGAACATGCTGGAAGTGGGGACACTTTGTTCCCAAATGGCAGCAGCCTTTAGGGGAGGGACATGTTTATTTCTATGGGGAGGAAACCCAGGGACATTTGTTTACTTTGTGTTAGGAGACAAGGTACCACTGTGGTGTGAAAAGAACTTGGAACTAAGACACCAAAGGCCTGGCTGTTACCAGGCCCAACTTTGTCACTAGCTTGCTGTCCCTTGACCTCTTGGTCTCAGTTTCCACATCTGTCAAATGAGAGACTTGAGAAAGATCTCTGAAGTTGTCCAGAGATCTGTGATTCTAAGATCAGGAAGTGGGAGAGTGCCAGGAAACAAGAATAGTGACTGAGAGAGGGAATGAAGGGTGAGAAAGGCCTTCCAGACTGCTAGGGGCAGAGGAGGAATGAGTGTCCTCAGAGGATCTGGGGAGAGCTGAGTTTCCTGACAGTCTATGCCCTTCTGGTATCTTCCCACCAATCATTTGGTAGAAGACATCTTCCAGGTGTTCCATGTCCTTGACTCTGAACACATGTTGCTCTTTATCCTTCTTGGAAGCCAAAGCGTTGATGTTTGCTTGGTCCACCAGGGGCCCGATCCCAAATACATAGACGTCTAAAGGAGCAAGAGAACAAAAAACCCAAACCCATTGCCATTGAGTTGATTCCAACTCATAGTGACCCCACAGGACAGAGTAGAACTGTCCCGTAGAGTTTCCAAGGAGCACCTAGTGAACTCAAACTGCTGACCTTTTGGTTAGCAGCTGAACTCAACCGCTATGCCACCAGGGTAGGAAGGTGAGGAATAAATGAAATAATGCATGAGGGGGGGAAAAGGGTGAGGGCAAGACCCTGTGGGAGGTGGGGTGCAGGAGCTGGGGAAGCAGGGTTCTGGGTTCTGGGGAGGTCACTCACCCAGATAATCCTCCCTTGGGTTTTTTCGGTCCCTGCCAATGTCCAGTAAGCTCCGGATCTCACCAATGACAGGGACTGGGTCCCCACCCATGTTGTGCAAGCCTGAAGAAGAGATGAGGAAGGAAGAGGGTCAAGGGAGACTAGCCAGTGACATGCATGGCTGGGTGGGTTGGGCAGAGGATGGAGGTGACAGATCACAGAGGGCTTTGGGGAGAAGGGACCTTTCTTACAAAGGGTCACAGGAGAGCTCAACAACCAGATGCAAGTAGCATCCAGAGCCCCAACCATGATTCTAGTATAGGGACATGTGCATGTGGACTTAAGGACCACATACTGGAGTCAGAAGATGGGCAGTCTAGGGCAAGAGAGAGATCTAACCATCAGTCATGAGGATGATGACATGGCGGGTGCGGTTCCAGCCCTCAGGAGGGGTATCCCCTGGCCAGCTCATCATGCTGTACACTGCCTGGAGGGCCTTCTTGGTGTTGGTCCCTGTCTTCAGCTTGTGGTCTGTGGAGAAGGAAGAGGTCACCACCTCACTTGGTCTTCCAAGCACTCTTTGAGCCCCAGAGGCCTATGAGCCCCTGGGATCCCACGTCTTTCAACTTTTTGAGTTTGTTGCTACCCCACTGACTTCTCTTTGACCACAAAGTGGTCCTCTCAGCCCCTAAGAGATTCCCACTAGCTCTCATTCCCCCACTCACCCTGCTGTCCTCCTTTTGACTACAAAGCGGTCCTCCTTGCTCCCCTACATGGGCACACTATCCATCCCCACCACACCCCTGAGCCCCCTGACCTCTCTGACCCCAGAGTGAACCTCCCACCATTCTTATTCCTAGTGTCTGACCGTCATAGCTGATTTGGTTGAGCCGCTCCGTGACCCAGTCTGCATCACTGCTCTTTGCATCAGACACTCTGACCAAAATATTGGGGTCTGTGGCATATGTCACTAGAGCATACTTTGGCTTCACCCCATAACTTGCCACCTGTGGGTGAGGGTAGCAAGGGGTCATGGACATTGAAATGAGAATACTGTGATTGGGAGAAATCAGCAACTTTGCTGGGACAGGGAAGGTCATAGCAAGAGGTTCAAGGACTGGCTGGTCACCCTGAGGTTCACAGACGAGTCTGTGTTAAAGGTCAACAAACTGCTTCAAGTAAAAGGGGAGGAGGACAGAATAGCACCTGGGATTTTCTGTAGTTCAGAGGCTGAGGGCACCAAGGAGCTAGCTCTGGAAAGATAGTAAGGCCTTTTCGGGGTCACAACTTGGAAAAAAGACCTAGCAATCTACTTCTGAAAAAATCAGCCATTAAAAACCCTATAGAGCACATTTCTCTGACACACATGAGGTCACCATGAGTCAGAGTCGACTCGGCAGCAAATGGTTACTGATGACCTGGGGGAGAGAGAGCTCCACCTTTTCGATGAGGCTGCTGAGACATCGCTTGGCCCCTGTGAAATTGCTGGTTCCAATGCTGTCTGATCCATCCAGCACCAGGTAGATGTTCATGGAGCCCGAGGGATCCAGGACAATCTTCCGCTTCTGGTATTCTCCTAGGTTCGTAGAGGGTCAGGCTCAGCATGCCCAGTTCTGCCCCTTCTCCATCCTCCTCCAGTTCCCAGCCCTGCCTCCCCTCTCTGCCTTCAAACCTGGGCTGTGCCCATCCTCAGCATCAGCTCCTTCTATGGTCTCTGTGAGGGAAGACAGGAAGGCTTCGGCCACCTCTTCAGGGGTGTCATACACGAAGGAATCTGGGAAGAGGTCAGAAATCGGGTCAAATTTCTGGGAAGATCAGGGACACAGTGATAAGAGAGACAGGGAATAGTGGGTTTCCAGGATGGGAAATGCTCAGAAGTGGGAAAAGCTCTGCAGGGAATTTTGGAAGAAGTGAGGAAGTAGCTGGTTTGAGGTAGGGGGAGAAGATGGTGCCTTGGCATGGGGACATTAGGACAGGAGAACAGAATCTGACCTAGGGACACAAGTCAAGGGTCACCTTGGCAGGAAGGCTCAGTTCCACTCCAAGAGCCACCTTCCAGGCACGTTCGCTGCTGGGAGCCACGCAGTGTGAGCCCCCGGTTGCATTGGTAGGTGACCCTGTCTTCAAGGCGATACTGGCTGCCCACCTTCCTTGTGCCAATGGGGATGCCCGGGTTGGGGCAGTACCCCGCTGCAGAAGTACAAGACATGGAAGTGAGGGCCAAAGCCTGAGGCCTGGAGAGCAAGCATTTGGGTGCCAGTTTCTCAGGCTGGAGGGGTATCAGGGAGAGGGTGATGTGGGAGAAGGGGCCCCTTCTTACCTCCGTTGTCACAGATGGCTGTTTGCCCATCCCACCGGCCAGTCACTTGGCAGGTGCGGTTGGCAGAGCCCCGGAGAGTGTAGCCGTCGTAGCATTGGAAAGAGATCTTATCACTCAAGTTGTAGTAGGGGGCCCGGGGCCAGAACTCCCCATTCTCAAAGTCCTGTGGTCTCGGGCAGCGAATCGCTTTGGGGAGGGAGGCAAGTAGAAGTCACTGAGACAGAAGGGTTGCCCTTTAGGGTGTCCTTCCTGGTCTCAGGATCCCGGTCACTGAGAAACAGTGCCTTCCTGATCCATCAGGAGCAGCGTCAACCCACCTCTGTCCTTCAACCCATGGAGGATCCAGCTGCTCCATCCCCACTTCTGAGTGGTCCTTTAACTTTGAGGGTTTTCTGGCACATGGTAAGTGCTTAGCAAACGTTTGCTCCCCTTCCTCCTTCTCCCTTCCCACTTCCCCTAGAACAGCTCCTATTCCTACTCAATCCAGATTGTCAGCATGCTTGGTCTCAACACAATTCTAATCCCATCCAGTCCCTGCCTTGGTGACCCCCTGCTCCATCCCTCCCCTGGCCCACCCCCACCCTCATGCCCTCCAACCTCTGCACTCTGCCTTCTTGACAATCTTTTCGCCTCGGGTCTGCAGGGCGCTCCAGGACCCTGAGGATCTGCAGACCCGCGTCTGCACAGGGTATGGGTAGAAGCCAGAGGGACACAGGTACTCCAGCGTCTGGCCCTCCTGGAGGAGTTGGAAGGAGCCCCCTGTGATCTGTATCCCCTCCAGGGAGCAGAGGCTTTGGTGCTGGGCCGCAGGCAAAGGAGTTGTGCTCACATCTGAAGAGAAAGGAGGATTTCATCTGGCCCCCCAAGACCAAGGCCAAGGCTGAGGAGGGTTGCTGGGCCAGCAGAAGGGGAAAGAGACCCTCACTTACCTCTAGACAAAAGGCCCAGGACCAAGGGAACCAGGCAGAGTAGGGGGCTGAGATTTCGCCCCATGGCGATGGAAAACAGAAGAGGAGTGGGCTGAGGCAGGTGGCCTATCCTGGCCCAGCCTGTGCTGTCGATCTGTTTGCTCAGTGTCCAAGCTGAAACTTCAGCCCTGGGCAGGGGCACAGTCCCTTCCCTGTCCCAAGCAGCCCCCAGCCTTTTATGCAATATCCCTCTGGCACCTGCAGCTTACCCCGCCCACCCCACCCACTTCACTTTCCGGAATGTCCAAGCGGGAGGGCCCCACTGAGCTGCCAGCCAAGAAAATAAAAACTGCATAAACCCCACCCTTTGCTGCCCAAGCTCCAGAGCTCACCCATCAACGCCTCCTTCACCCCCTACTCCTCTCCAACAAACCCAGACCGCCCTTTGAGGGACCAGAAATAAGCACCACCACCCCCAGCTCGCTCCCCTGTGGACTGTGTGGACAGGGCAGAGTCCAGGGGCTGTTTGTCCTGTAGGATCTCTGACCTGCCTTCCCAAAGTTCCTGGAATTATCCTGGCCTCCCTGTCCATCCCCCTCACCCAAGCCTGCCTGGCTCCCAGGCAGAGGACAGGTGGATGTGGAAATCATTGACTTTTATTAATTTCATAACTGGGAAATTCCATGTGAAAGTGAAAGGAGAAGCGAGCACATTACATGGGAGGGAGGAATTTTCATGCATGCCAGGAGGGGAACACTGGGAATTCCCCAACTCAGCTGCTCTGCCAGCTGGGATCCAGGAGGCTGGATGCAGACCTAAGTGTGAGGCCGGGTCACAGGGTCTGGGGTGGAAGTTCAGGGGTAGGAGTTGAGAGGGATGGCATATCCTTGCAGGAGGGCAAAGGAGTTAGTGGCCATGATTAGAGGGGTAGGAATTGCAGGACCCCCTGCAGATGCTGCCTCAGCCACGGCTGCAGTTGGAAGAGACTGATGTGGAAGTCCCTTGGTGGCGGCACCCTATTCCTGGGGGCCTTTTTGCGGAAGTTTTTGTCGGAGTTAACACAGGGGTTGTAGAGACCCCAGCTCACCAGGCCCACCTGGAGGAAGGCAAAGAACGGGGTGAGCAGCTGCCCAACCCCAGCTCCAATCTCCTGGCTTCTCTCAGAGGCCTCCCCCCTCCGCCACCAAGACCAAGATCCTGTAACCCCATCCCTCCGGCTCTTCCCCTTTCTCTCTTACCTGAAAAAACCTGAATTTCCGCTCAAGGAAAACTGCTCCCCCAGATTCTCCTGCCAGAGAGGAGGGAGATGAGACAGTGTTACCCCTGACTCTCGCCCAGCCCCACCATCATCAGGGCAGTGCAGAGGCATCCTGGCACGAACTTTGGCCACACGGGCACTGTTGGGACACAGGCGTGGAGGGAGGGAAGGGACTCACCTTTGCAGGAGTTGTCATCATTCTGGGTCCCACTGCACAAGAACTGGTCTGTCACCACCTCTCTGACATCTGTCAGGTTGGGGAACGTGGTTTTGTCTTGGGAGACAGCCTGGATACAGCTTGCCCACTGCAAGAGGGTAGAGCAGGAGAGAGGGATGGAATAAGCAGACCCGGGGACACCTGGCAGGCAAGCTAGGCCTCAGAGGAGGGTGACCCAGGATCAGATGGAGATGGCAGCCAGAGCTGGGGAGGAGGAGAGATGTCTCAGGAGCTTCCACGGGAGGGACCTCACACCCACAGCACCCTGGACCTGAGACCCTCACCTCTATCCCAGTCTTGAGGTTAACATTCAGTTTGCTCCCATTCAAGGCGACAAAATGCGCAGGAACGCTCGATTTGTCCAGAAGTTTGTTCTCTGCAGCCAAGGAAAGGGAGTGTTGGTGCTGGTGCCCTTACCAGAATCTAGACTCCTGCCAGGGCACTCCAGCCCCAGCCCAGGTTATCCCTCATGCCCTGGCCCAGCTCTGCACGCCACTCACCGTGGTCCCGGCAGGTGCTGTTTTGAGGCCTCCGAAGAGCCAGATTGGCCTCCACTGTGCAGGGAAGGCAGATAGGCCTGGGGAGAGGGTTAAGGGTCTCATAGGCTGTCCTCAGTGTCCCCTCCTCTTGGTATCCCCAGAGGACTCTCCCCCGCAGGGCACCCTCCCACCCAAGCCTCCTGGAACCTGGCATGGGTGGACATCTTCACTTTCTCGGCCAGCTTCAGCAGGGCAATGTCATTGCCGTAGAACTCTGGGATCCCCTGGTTCTTCTTGGCAAAGACATCGAACCCCGGGTTGATCACTACCTCCTCAATACGGAATTCTTTGCCCCATGGGGAGTTGGGGTCCCCTGGGAAAAACATGGCGGATCAGGCTAGACCTGGGCTCCTGAAGGGCAGGGGCTGGGGAACCTCAGGCTACGGGGTCGGAGCCCTACCCACGATGACTCTCCACAGGGAGCGTCCCTCAGCGTTGCGGAAGCAGTGAGCAGCTGTCAGGACCCACTGGTCAGAGATGAGGGCCCCCCGGCAGTTCTCCTGGCTCTTAGGCTGCAGGGGAACAGGTGGTCTTCAGGGCCTGCTGTGTGCCTGGTCTGTGGCCACCTTCACCTCCGGGATCCCAGCCCCACCCCTCCTTCCTGGTACCTTAATGGTGACGTGCCAGGGTGTCCTCTCCTGGTCTGAAGCATTGGCTGACATGTTCCCCACTCCACAGATGGTGTCTGTGAGCTGGGAGACATCTGTCAGTGTGAAGAGCAGATAGAGGAGGAAGCAGGTGAGGGGTCCTGTGGCCAGGTTCCCAACCCGGGCCCCCAGCTGGCTGCTCCCTGCCCAGCCCGCTCTGAGAGGGTGGAGCTCACTCACCCAGCATGTGCTCAAAGACCTGGTGCAGAGCCTTTGTGTCCTGCAGGATGAATGCATGCCGCTCCCCGTCCTTCTTGGACCCCAGCTCATTCAGTTCTTTCCAGTCCACGTCCATCTTGCCCACCCCAATGGCGTAGATGTCTGGTAGGGAGGAGGGGAAGCACAGAGTCCTGTGACTGAGGGGCTACCTATGAGACGGGTGCTGTGATTTGGAACCCACTATGGAACTCTGGTGGCGCAATGGTTAAGAGCTACAGCTGCTAACCAGAAGGTCGGCAGTTTGAATCCACCAGCTGTTCCTTGGAAACCCTATGGGGCAGTTCTACTCTGTCCTATAGGGTCACTATGAGTCGGAATCAACTCAATGGCAACGGTTTTTTCTTTTTTTCTTTAATGTCCTACAAGGAGCCTTGGTAGCGCAATGCTTAAGAGCTCGGCTGCTAACCAAAAGGTCAGCAGTTTGAATCCACAAGCCTCTTCTTGGAAACCCTATGGGGCAGATCTACTCTGTCTTATAGGGTCGCTATGAGTTGGAATCTACTTGACAGCAATGGGTTTGGTTTTTGTTTGGTATGTCCTACAAAGCTCTGTATGAGCTGGACATCCCTTTGACCTGCTATCTATCTGACCTCATTTCCTACCATTCCCCACCCTTCACTCTTTTCCAGCCAAATAGCCCCCTTCAGGCTCTTCAGGTTCACAAGCACATCCACAGCTTAGGTCTTTTGCACCAGTTGAGCTTCTGCCTGGTTCACTCTTCCCCCAGATTCTACATGGCCCGCTCTCTTACCACTTTGTTTTCTTTTACTTTGTGTGATGAAAACATACACTGCAAAACATTCTCCGATTTAACAATTTCTACATCACCGACATTGATTACATTCTTCAAATTGTGCAACCCTTCTCACTATCCTTTTCCAGATCATTCCACCACCATTAACATAAACTCAATGCCCCCTAAGCAAAAACTCCCCCTTCCCCCCTCCCTCCCACCCTTGGTGACCACTAATCTTTGGTTTCTCTATATTTGCTTATTTCATATAACTGAGATCATACAATGTTTGTCCTTTTGCAACTGACTTATTTCGCTCAGCATATTTTCAAGGTTCATCCATGTTGTGGCATGCATCAGAACTTCATTTCTCTTTACAGCTGCATAATATTTCATTGTATGTATATACTACACTTTGTTTATCCATTTTGTTATCTGTTGATGGACATTTTGGCTGTTTACATATTATCTTACCTTTTTAAGTCTAAAACTGCAATGGCCTAGATGCTTCCATCCCTCACCCCGCTTTATTTTATACCTTAGTACATATATTATCTAATGTGCTATAAGATTCCCTCAGGTGTCAAGTGCATGGCCTCCATGGGGCAGGCATTTTCATTTGTTTTGTTCACAGCTGTATCCTGGTGCTTAGCCCAGGAGAGGCTCTCGGTAAGTATTTTTAACTGACTGAAGGGATGAAAAGAACTCATGAACATAGCATGATGACAAAACTTCAGACCTGGTCTTCCTCTGTAAAATGTACAGTCTGGAAGAGGGGCCTAAAGACATCTCTTCCCACTGGAGAACTTGGACCCACACCACCATCCATGCCAGGCCTCCAAGCATGGGTACATACTGTCAGAACCGCCCTCAAGAGGCCCCCAGAGTCCATTTTTTTCCCACCCTTTGTACCTCCTCATGGTCCATTTTTGCTCCCAGAGGGCCTGTGTTGTGTGTAAGGAACGAGGTGCTCAGATGAACTGTGAGGGAAGTCTTCAGCCAGGAAGCGATTCAGCAGGAGCCAGGGACAGAAGCAGTTGCAGTAACAGCTAAATGATTATCATGCCCTGGGTTTTTTGTTTGTTTGTTTTTTCACTATTTCCCTTCAGTTTCCCACTTGATGGAGGTCAAAAGGTCAGCAGTTCGAATCCACCAGCCGCTCCTTGGAAACCCTCTGGGGCAGTTCTACTCTACTATGAGTCGGAATCAGCTCAACGGCAAGGCAGTTTTTTATGGGTATGTGTTTTAATTGTGGTAAATATATATGTAACACGACATTTGCCATTTCAACAATCTTCATGTGTATAGTTTAGTGACATTATGTTCATCATGTTGTTCAACGATTACCCTATCCGTTCCCAAATTTTTCCATCACCCTTAACAGAAACTCAGTGTCCCGTAAGCATTGAGTCTTCCCTTCCCCCTTACTCCCTCCTTCCCCTGGTAACCACTAATAAACTTTCGACTCTATACACTTGCATAGTCTACATACTACATATAAGTAGAATTATATAATATCTATCCTTTTGCAATTGACTTACTATACTAGCATGATGTTTTCAAGGTTCATCCATGTTATGGCATGTATCAGGATTTCATTTCTCTTTATGGATTAGTAATTCCTTGCTTGCTGAAAGTGAAGAGGACTTAAAGCACTTACTGATGAAGATCAAAGACCACAGCCTTCAGTATGGATTACACCT